GTGGTTCTCTGGTTGGCGTTGTTGTGGTAGAAAAAGAGAGTGCAGTTGGTCGTGGTTATGGGTTTGTCAGTTTGGTATGGAGTTACCTTTTCCTTTTTATTTTTAACTCATCTTTTGGCTTAATGATGGTGGTTTTGCAAAATAGGTACTAAACATGAAAAGTTCAGTTTTGATTTTGGAACTTTACTTCCCATGAAGTACGAACAAATAGCACAGTTGCTCATCGCAAGGTATTTCTTCTTCGATAGCTATGTTGCTTCACCATTTTTGGTACTTTTCTTTGATAGTATGTGGGTTTGATGTCTTTTGTTGATTTTCTAATTTTTGATCCATCTGTTGCGAAGTGAGCTTTGATTTTGATGGGTTTTTCTTTGATTTCTTTCTATGGTTTTCTACTGGTTTCTTTTTATGGGTTTCTACTGGTTGCTAAGAAAAGGATGAGAGAAAACATTATGGAACTTGAAAGCTTAGAGCTGATTTTTCATATACTCTCCGTTATGGTTGCTAAGCGTTATTCTATATACTCTCCATTGGTAGATCTGATTTTTCAGTTGTTAAAGATAAAAAAATTATCAATCAATCAGTATGTTTTGACGAAGTTCCTCCATTTTTTTTGAGGAAGTTAAGTAAAAGCCCTCCTGTTCCTCCAATTTCTATGTTTTTCTTATAGATCCATGGCTTAAGTATGTAAAAGTAGATGGGCTTCCCTTTTTCTAGCTTTCTTGCATTTTCCTTTTACTCCATTCGACCACCCGAACCCTGTCTGCATTGCACGGTACCAGAAAACAAATTTGTTTACAGCAAGTTTGTTTGGTCTATCCATGAATACTAACTGCCAAATGTTAGAAACGTAGTGCAGTCCTTACCTGGGGTACATATTCACCATCACCTCTAAATTTAATGTATGGTTGTTTGATATCCATTTTATTTTGTTTGTTTTTTTGCAATGGGAAGTTGTTTTGAAAAAAAAATTTGGTAACAAGTCCACCTGTTTTTTGATAAAAAGTTACAGGTGGTGAATCTACAAATACTTACTGATCCCCCTCCAAATTTAAAGGCTCTTACAAGTCCAACATAACAAATTTTTTTTTGATTTTTCTTATTTTTTGGAGGAAATTTACATTCTTGATTTGTAGTTTTTGGGTTTTTTTTTCCATGACGAATTTTGCATTTGTATGTTCATCAAACTAAGTTGTGGTTCTTTATATGTATTTTTCATTTCAAACTTATTTTTTTTTGTTATTCAGTGCTTTGGTACATATTTGTTCAATGCTTCTGATACATATTTTGCGGTTGCTATTCGGAAGGAGATTGGCCAATCATTCGACAATTCTATTTGACTGATCACATCATTTTTTATGGGATTCTATTTTTAGAGGAATCATGGGACAATTGTTATAGGATTTATAGGACAATTGTGCATACTGGTAATGCCATGAATACAGTTTCACTTATATTTTATAGTATTTGAAATGTTCTTCAAGTACTTTTCTTTATTGTGTTGTCTTTGTTATGTTGATTACTACATTGCTTTTGCATGGCAAGTTCATTTTTTTGATACTTAGTTGTTAGTTTAGTTTGTTACTTAAAGTTTAGTTTTTTTATACAAACGTTTATTCATCGCATTGACTTTTATTGGTATAGAAGCATAGTTCATGACCGAATATAAATATAAATTGCATGCTGTGAATTATGTAGAATATTTTTTTCTTTGAATTGAAATTACGACTTATTTGGTTGAAATTGGGAGTGAGTTCATATCAATTGAATTTTTTTTGCTTCAACTTAGATTACGACTTTAAAATTGGGAATGATTTATATCAATTTCATTTGAGATTATTGCGACTTCAACTTAGATTACGACTTCAACTTAATGTATGTTTATATTTATTGTTTGATTATTTCGTATTTAATAATTATATACAGTGTCTTCAGACACGTGATATAGAACGAGTTTAAGTTTTTAGTTTAGTACGCGTACAAATTCAGTGTTTAATTATTTCGCGTTTAAATTCAATGTTCGATTTTTTTTAAGTTTCACCGTGCCTTCAGGCACGGGTTATCCCGTATATATATGTATATATATATATATAATACTAAACTAATGCAAAATCAAAATTCTTTAATTTTAGTACTTTTTAAGATAAGATTTTTGTTATCAAATTTCAAAAGGTTTCTAAAAACTTTGAAACATATCCCTTAAAAAAAAAAAAAGGAAATAAGAGGATGAGAAAGAGAGAGGATTTATTATGAGTTTTGATTTTCTAAAACTGTTTTAGGCAACCGTTATATATTAAAAGGGTATTCAAGTCTTTGTAAATCACTAGAGGCTTTTTTTACAAAACATTTTTTACTATGGATTTATCCATTAATAAGTCTAATATGGTGTACTAGCTTTCGAATGACCCATAATTCAGTGTGTTTTATTTGGGTTTTATTTTCTCTACTTACCAAATTCAAGAGTAAAATATTGAAATCTAATTTGGGAACTTGGTACACTTCAATCATTATATGAACAATAGTTTCAACCATTAGATAGTTTCTATTAATAATCTAATGGTAAAAATGCATTAGATTTTTAAATTAGGTGCAAGTCCAAATATATCAAATAAAAAGTGTTCTCCTTTCATAATTTACATGGTAACTCGTACTCTAGAAAAAAAATTTGTATTTTTTTCTTATTCATAGTATGCAATAGTTTATATGATTTTTATATGCCACTTTATTACTATTTACAATTGATGTATGTGGTAGCCATTTCTTGACATATATCAATTATATTATGGTCATAATTAAAGTAACTATTTTCTCAATATTTATTGGTCTTATTTAATTTGATTATTGCTCCACTTGTTATTGACATTTAATATTTGGATGATATACACAAGAAACTTTTTGTATTATGGATCCTAAAATCTAACTGGCCCTCTCTTTTCTCTGATTATATAGAGTACATCAAGGAACAATTTAGAATACATGAGGATATTTTAGGCATTTTAGATTTTAATTTAAAAAAATCACTAAGAGTTTAATAAATATTTCTAATTGAATATAAAAACTTAATTTACATCTGAATAGTATGAAAAATAATATTTAAATAAAATTATAGCAACATTATTTATGTGTTAAAATTAAATTTTAAAAATGTACTATTTAAACCTTCGCATAGGGCCTCAATTTATAGTGGGTCAGCCCTCATCCCAAGCTCCTTGTAACTTGATATAATATAGTTCATGTTATTTGAAAAATATCAATTTTTTTTGTGCTTGGAAAATATCCAAATATCAAAATTATTTGATTAAACTTCACAAAGACTTTAAAGCAAATAAATGGATGTATGTTAAAATATGTATGCATGAGTTATTATTTTTTTTTAATTGTAAAATTCAAAAATCTAACTTTTTCCAACAATTTTAATTTTCAAAATTTCTCAAGAATAATGAAAATTGCAAGGATTCATCATTTCTTCTTTTGTTTTGTTTTTTTCATTATGATGCATTATTAAATATCATGATAACTTTGAGAAACTTTAAAAAAATCGATACCTATTATTAAATAGGTCCCTAGTATTATAATTGGAGTTACATGCACTAAGACTCAACTAGGTTATTTAGGCTCGGCTTCACTCTTGTGATAAATGAACTAGGTTTGAAGATGTTTTTTTTTAAAAAAATTTAGTAACGCACTGAGTTCAAAACAAACTTAGTTCGGTAAGATAATTGACATTAAAAAACTATATAAATTACTTTTTTTGATCAAACTTCAACCACTCACACTAAAGATAAATTACTTGAGATAAATGAATCAAGGTCTTTTTTGGTCTTCAATAAATCAAGGTTAAGTTTTATTGAGCAGTTATTTAAATTTCAAATCAAGCCACATGTGCAGCACATACTTGTATAGTATTAATGAGACCCAGAATAATTTTGTGTACAATATCAAAAAAAAGTTCTGGCCGTCGATTTTTTTTTAATTTAATTGTGATCGTTGATGATTAAGACAAATTAAATGAATTTTATGCATGTCGCATTTTTTTGGACCAAAATGAAGGTGTAGTACCGAATAATTATTTTTGGATACAGAAAATGACACTATCCGAAAATATGTTTGCATTCTCAATTTATACCTTCAAATATTAAAATGCTCATACTACACATAAGGGTGTCAACCTAGGCAGATTTGTGTCGAGTCTAATTGGGTTCGTGTGAAAAATCATTCAATCTGTACAAGATTCGTTTAATTAAATAAATGAAAATCTATAAAATCAAACACGATTTATTTATTAAACAGGTTATTTGACACGATTCATTTAACCCTTTTAATAAAATTTTATTATTATTATTATTATAAATAATTATTAAAATTTTTTTAGTTGATCTAATTATGAAATTGCATACATTATTCTGACTATAAAAAATTGAATAATTATTAATTTATTATTACATTAATTTTATTTAAACGGATAAACGAGTGATAAAGAAGTTGACACATCTCACCTGAATATCACTCGTTTATTAAATAGGTTTAGCAGGTACACTAGCTAAGTACTTTTCCAAACCCGCTTAATTTTATGTCGATTTGTATCTATTAATCGTGTTGTGTCGTATTTTAACATGATTAATTACATGTTCAATCAAATAAAAAATTAGTAATGTAGTCCAAAATTAAATATTTGTTGTCTTTTTTTGACATTTTTTAGTTATACTTGTCATCGTATTTCTACATACAATTATTTACGTAATACTCAATTTAAGTATTATTGATTAAATTTTTGTACCCAATTTTTTTGAAAATGAAATACATTGTTATCTTTTCATCTGATTGAATGAAGGTGTAATATAAAATTTTTAATTTTTTAGGGTACAAATTGTCATTCACTCTGTTTGATTCTATATCCGGATCCTCCACACTTAACCCATGAGCCGTTGGATGTTGATGCGAATCAGCGACCCCCAAATTAATACAGTTTCTAACAGAAACAAACACTCTCGTAGACAGGAATGGCCATTGGAGCTGCATTTGGATTTGCAGCAAGACCAACATGGTCAGTAGGGGCAACTACTCGCCAAAGGGCCAATTGGGTGTTTAACCCTTTGGCATCCTCTTCATACTCTGCACAACCCATCTCTTCTTCTTCTTCTTCTTCTGATTCGAGAAAGCTCATACTATACTCAAAGCCCGGTTGCTGTTTGTGTGATGGCCTCAAAGAAAAGCTTCAAGCTGCTTTGTCTCTCTCTGGTCCTCATTCCCTCCACGATGTTGAATTACAGGTTCCTACTCTGATTTATATAAAAATGTGTGTTTGCGTATGCATTACCTCTTAATCTTTTTTACATTGTTGCTAGATGATATAATTTTAATTAGACTCTCTCTCTCTCTCTCTCTCTCAATTGGTTTTTTCATGTGTTTGTTGGGTTTTGTTAGATAAAAGATATTACTACCAATTCTGAGTGGGAGAGGGCTTATCAGTATGAGATACCGGTTTTGGCCAGAGTGCAGTCTGATGGCACTGAGGTTGGTGTTTATCCAATTTGGTATTCTAATTTTGTGAAATATCTTCCCAAGAATGAATTTTGTGCATTCGTAGGAGTTCAATCTGTGCATATGGTGTGGATGAAGAAGTAGAAGTTAAGTGATATGCGCTTATACGAATACCTTGACGATTTGAATATTTACCTTAGGATAGAAGATTAGGACCCAACAACCATTTGACTGCACCAAAGATATCAACCTGTTGAGATGTTTTATTGGTTTTTACTTCTGCAAAGTGCAATGTCACTTCGCTGAAATTTTACAATTGGTGTTGGCTCTGCAATTGTAAGTTGAAGTTCTAAATAGTATTGGCGACTAATAATTAGCCAATAAAGAGGCTGACCAGAATTCAACTTTGTTACCGAACAATTATGACGGTCTAACATGGTAAAATCAACAATGTGGAAGTAAAAGCAAAAGGGGCTTAAAGAAGAAAGAAATTAACTAGTATTCCTGCTGTTAAGTTGAGAGAATTAACATAATATTAAGAAGAAACAAAGAGGGGTCAAAACTTATCCTTCCTCTCATACATCACTTGTATTTATAGGTAACTTATAATAATATTTATATGTACTACCTTAATACTCTTAACAGTTTACACATAATACCTTAATACTTTTAACACTCCCCCTCAAACTGGACTATATATATCATATAATTTAAGTTTGGAACAAATTACTGTAAGACGTGTACGACTCAATGATTTGGTGAACATATCTGTAAGCTTCACAAATGAAGTCGTAATCTCCCCAGCCACTATCTTGTCTTGAAAAAAATGATAATCAACCTCAATATGTTTGGTTTTCTCGTGAAACACTGGATTGACAGCGATATGGATAGCTGTCTGGTTGTTACAGAACAACTATAAAGGAGGTTGAACCGGAAATCTAATGTCATGGAGGAAGTGTAGTAGTCAAGTCAACTCATTCGTCATATGCGCCATTGCCCTATACTCGGCTTCAACACTGGATCTTGCTACCACGGATTGTTTCTTATTTTTTCATGAGACAACGTTTCCTCCTGAGAAAATACAATAACCAGTAGTTGATCTTCGATCAGAAATAGAGTCAGTCCAATCAGCATCTGAGAAATCTTCCACTTTAAGATGTCCATTAGCTTGATATAGCAATCCAAGGCTAAGAGCACATTTGAGATATCGTAGAACACGAGTAATTGTCTCTTAACGTGGTACTCTAGGACATCCCATAAACGGCCTTACTACACTAACTGCATAGGAAATATCCGACCGAGTAATAGTGAGATAATTGAGCTTTCCAACCAATCTGTGATACCAACCCGAATTTTCAAACATTGCACCATCATCCATCAACAATATCTGATTTGGATCCATAAGAACATCAATCGATCTACCACCTAACAAGCCTATTTCTTCTAACACATCAAGTACATATTTCCTCTGAGATAAACAAATACCCTGTTTAGATCGAGCTACCTCAATATCTAAGAAATACCTGAGTTTTTTCAAATCCTTAGTATGAAATCGATCTTGCAAGAAGATTTTTAACTTGGTAATCCACTCAGAATCATTTCGAGTAATCACAATATCATCTATATAAACTACTAATAGAACGTATCCAACATCCGTCTGTCTATGAAACACAGAATGGTCTGTTTGACATCGAAGAAGACCAAACTCTAAAACTGCATCTAAAAACTTACCAAACCATGCCCTTGGTAACTACTTCAAACCATACAAAAGTTTCTTTAATTGACATACACTCTTACCGTACTCCCCCTGAGCAGTAAACTCAGGTGGCTGTTCCATGTATACCTCTTTAACTAAGTCACCATGTAAGAAGACATTCTTGATATCTAACTGAAACAAAAACTAATCAAGATTAACGGTTAAAGAAATCAAGACACGAACAGATAAAATTTTGGTAACAGGAGAAAAAGTCTCCTCATAATCAATACCATAGGTCTGAGTAAAACTCTTTGCAACAAGCCGGGCTTTGACACGCTCCACAGAACCATCCGGATGAAATTTAATTATATACACCCAACGATAACCAACAGTTCATTTACCAAAAGGTAAAGGAACGAGATCTCAAGTTCCATTATGATATAAGACATCCATCTCCTCCTCCATAGTTTTCCTCCAACCAGGGTCAGATAATGAATCTTGTAAGTGCTTAGGAATAAATATAGCAGACAATTGAGAGGTAAAACAAGAGAAGACAGGAGACAAGATATCATATGAAACAAAATGAGCAATGAGATGATTAGTAACACATGAACGAGTACTTTTTCGAAGAGCAATAGGTAAAGAGTCTAAATTACTTGATATACCAAGATCAGAAGGTGTCAAGGAAGACGGTACGGGCACCTCAGTCAATGGGGCGAGGATGACGAAACTATATACGAAGAGGTAAAGTAGATGGTAACACAGTAGGCAGCGAAATATCGGAAGATGAAGGAAGAGATGATAGTACGAGAGATGATCCAAAGGCTGAACATGCGCCAAAAAATATGGAACAGACTCCTCAAACGTGACATTGGCACTAATAAAGTATTGTCGCAGAAGGATTATAACAGCGATACCCCTTCTGTGTGCGGGAGTATCCAAGAAATACACATTTGGTTGTTCGAGGGTCAAGTTTATCAAACTTAGGACCCAGATTGTGAATATAACAGACACATCCAAAAATCTTAGGAGTTAGAGAAAATAAGGGCTTATCAGGAAAAGAATAGAATATGGACTTTGCCCATTTAACATAGAGGATGACATACGATTAATAAGATGTCAAGCAGTAAGAACAACATTACTCCAAAAATATCGGGGAATATTCATCTGGAATAACAGGGCACGAGTGACTTCCAACTAGGGGTGTTCATCCTACCCTACAGGTAGGAAATATAGTATTCCGTCTTCTTACCTGATACTTTGCGGAAGAATTTTTTCTTGACCAATCCCACCCAATCAGGTGTGGTATTCCTACCTGACTTCCTACCCGATTAATCGGATAGGAAGTCAGGTAAACCCTTGTGTAGTTATTAATTTTCGGATCATTTTAACAATTCAATTAAATAACATGCACCAATGTAACAATACAATAAATCAATAACATTAAAACATAAAACAACTACAACAACAATTATAATAAAATATAAAAAGGTAGGAACATCAATCCATCATAATTGTTACACAAATACAATAACAATTATTTTAAATTTAAACTATATAAAACACATTAAAATCATAACTGCTCCAATAAATAACCAATTCACCACAAATCATGTAACGTACACAAAAAATAAGTCCATGTTTTCGCAATTCTAACATTTACAACAATGGCAATGTTATAATATAAATTATATCACACAAATACTCTTATAATTATTAAAAAAAATATAAAAAAGTTAAATATATTTTTTGTGGGTAGGGTAGGGTAGGAATGCAAAAATTGATGGGTATTCTGCAATCCTACCCGATTTAATTGGAAGATCAAAAACTCTTCCACATTTTTACCCAATTTTTGCGGCTAGTCGTTCAGTAAGGTAGAGTCGGGTTTGGTAGAAAATTGCGACCAATCGAAAATTTGAACACCCGCACTTCCAACAAAATGATGGTTCTTACGTTCAGCAACGCATAGGAAGTCTGATGAATAATGCTAATTTTATTAAGATAAACTGAAAAAAAATCAGATTCATATTCTTGAGCATTATCAGAACGTAAAATACATATACGATAACCATACTGAGTTTTTATTTCCTTGCGAAAGGTCTTAAATATAAAAAATAATTCAGAACTAGCTTTCATCAAAAACAACCAGGTCACACGAGAATAATCATCCACAAATAACACAAAATAAAGATATTTATTAGATGAAATATTTTTTTATTGAACCCCATACATTAGAATGTACCAACTCAAATGGACTAGACACACGATTATTGACTCTAGACAGAAAGGACACACGGTGATGCTTACTAAGCTAACAAGCTTCACAAGATAAAGATGACACATAACTAAGACTGAGAACTTAGCGCTTCAGATTCTGAAGAAAGAGATGTCCAAAACGACAATATCATTGAAAAGGAAACAACGAGGTCGGTAGAGCTCGAGTAGGTGAATCAAAATCAAAGTAATATAGGCCACCAGCTTTATGTCCCGTACCAATCTTTCTCTTCTTCTTGAGATCCTGAAATACACAATAAGAGGGATAAAAGATTATGGAACAATTGAGAGAACGAGTAATCTTGCTAATGAAAAGAAAACTGAGGAATAAATAACACGGAAGATAAGGACATATTAGGACTCAAGTGAATATTCTCCAAATCTGAAATTTTAGAACAAGTATCATTAGCAAGAGTAACACTACATGTGGAAGTAGTAGGCTGATAAGTAAAAAAAATACTAGACCCACCAGTCATGTGGTCAAAAGCGCCAGAGTCTATGAGTTAAGGACTGTGAGTGGAAGATAATAAATAAGTGAAAGCAGTACCTGTCTGGGCAAAAATAGCAATGGAGGGAGATGGAACAGCTTGTTGGTGGGACAGGAACTGAGTATACTCCTCTCGTGTAATAGTAACTAACCTAGTGTCTGGTGGAACTGACTAAGGTACAGAAGCAAAAACCGAGGTGTCATCCTGATAGGAAGTCTGATTAGCATTAGTAGAAGGTTTTCCACGTAAATCCCAACAGAAATCAACAGTGTGCCCTCCACGACCACAGTGAGTACAAGAACAGAGTCCACTATGGCCCCTACGATCACCCGTATGACCTCCTCAACCACCACGTCCACCTCGATGATCATCATTGTGACTACTAGGAACCACAAGAGCTGAGCGATCAGTGGAGACACCATGATCAATGCTTGAAGGATTAGACAAAGTAGTACACTGTAAATAAGAGAAAACCTCAAGCAGTGAGGGAAGACTTAACCACCTAAAATCTGAGAACGAATAGCCTCATATTCAGGTTTCAATCCTCCCAAAAACCTAACAACATTCAGATCTTCATGTTGCTTATGCCAAACTGCTGCATCAGTTATAAACAGATGGTAGGTCTTCATCTTCTCACAGACTCCCCGAACATGAGAGTAATAATCCTCAAGGCTCAGAGTACCCTG